GCAAAACAATTAGATCGAAAGAAATATATATGTTATTGTCGAATGAAATAATTTTCAAAAATCATCCAAGATTATGATTATATTTCATATTTAATATTTGGTTAAGTATGAGAATGGTAATACCATCGAAAACATGTTTGTTAATTTAAACATAACTGGAATTATATTAAATTTTGTTATTATTCAATATTTTGATTAGAAATTTTATGTTTTCATTATTATTTAATATTTTGATCAATAATTTTATATTTTTATTATAATTGTCCGTATATATAGTTTTTGACGCGCATTTGTTTGCAAACTTGTAATAAAAATAGAAAAAAAAAACTTTAGAATAATATTAAATTAATATTGAAATAGTAATATACATAGAAGATGAAATACATGTAGAAGATGAAATGTAAACAATAATATTATGAATAATATAATATGATTAAAAATAAAAATTATTGAAATTTATACTAGATAAATCAATCGTTAGGTTTTTTTTTACAAATAAGGCAATTATTTGAATTTTTATTTTTAAATAACCATTTTTTTAAAAATAATTTCTTAAATAATCACTTTTTCAAAAAATTTACCAAAATAATCACTTTTCAAATAAAAATTTCGCCACACAGAGGAGTAGTCACTCTGTAGCGCATGCATTCATTTTAAAGAGGAAGCGCCACACTGCATGATTTGTCCTCCTCTGTAAAGCCATGCAGTGCGGCGCATGCATGTGTTTTTAGAGAGGAGACGCCACTCTCCTTGACTTGACAGTGTTATTGTAATTTTTTTAAAATAAGATAAAAGTAATTAAAAATATTTTATATTAATATTTAATATTACACAAAGCATGGATACATTTTTTTGGACGTACCTTCAAACTAAGCGGGTCCTAGTATGACATAAACGGTTGCGCCTTTGTCTTGTCCCTTGTCTCACTCCTCTCTGTTGATTTTTCTGAGGTGTTTATGGTCTGTTCTGACTTGCTTGATTATGGGGTGCTTGATGTGATGGTCCTGGTACATCAGGATCATACATCCCATCGTTCATTTCGCCCCATTGTGTTGTGCTTTCAAAGAGATTGGTGTCCATGTTGTTGAAGTTTGGTCTTGTTGGTTGGGATATGTGTGGGTGGTGGGGTGATTGATAGTATTGGAATATTGAATCGTGATGGAACGAAGCAACATTTCTTGTGGTGTATGAAATCCGTATGATAGTTGGGTACTTCGATGGTGTGATGTTTGACTGTATGTAGGTTGGGTGGTATGGTAGGAAGGAGATGTATCATATGTGTCTTGGGTGTTGTGGTAGGATGAGGATGGTGCATATTGTTGGTGGTGGTTCGGATCACGCTCTCGGTATTGTGTTTGTGTGTATGGCATGAATTGATGACGAGTTTGGTTGAATGAGGTGGTGTATGGTTGTTGGGTTTGAGTGGGTTGACATTGTGGTTGGGTTTGGTATTGTTTAGGGGTTGGTTGTTGGGTTTGGTATTGTTGAGGGGTTGGTTGTTGGGGTTGTTGTTGGGCGTATGTTGCAGCTCTTTGGCGTGGGTTAATCAAATAAGTCTCTTGAGACAGAAACAAATTTGTTGAAACTGATGTGTACTATCTCAAATATTGGAGCGTCAATTTTAAGTCATCTTGCAAGATCGGCTCCCTTATGACCAATTCATATCAATGCCTCCATTGATGACATTGATTTTTAGCGAAGTCTCTCAAATCGTTAAATCCCCACTGGTCGTCAACTCTGAGTATATGTCATTGGCCCAAACATGTTGGGGGGTCGGGGATACCCTGTTGCATGCCGAACTGTAGCTTCACACGATCACTGTGGTGCATCTCCACAGTAGTGAACCTGATGAGTGTTGTTTTTGCAGTCCAGACTTCAGCATCAGGAGGGTTAATGTCATGGTCGAGATCCTTATACGGCCTCCATACAAACTCTAGAGTAAAAAAAGTTATATAAAATATTAAACTTAATTAAACTATTGAATGTGTTGTATAAAATATGTAACTTTAATACCTCTTCGGGTCCAATATGATCAATAAGATTTCGATAGACTACTATTGCGTTTCTAGGGGATTTGTTGTAATTCATCCCAGGAACAGACCACCTACATAGAAAAAATGGGTAATAAATTAATACACTATATGTCTCGGTATACAATATGTAAAATTTATGGTTTTGTAATCTTACTTTGTAGCAAAGGGGAAGACGAATGACCTTGTGTTGCGGGGGGCGAGTGCCAGCATTCTCGACCAGCACCATGTCTGGAGCAAAAAGGCGCAAGAATAGAAAGAACAATTACCGTTCGATGCATTTTTACACAAGAAACTATACAGATGAGCCAAAACAGTTGAACCCCAACTATATGTGTATATTTTATCAAATTGTCTTAACAAGGGTAAATACATGATATTAACAGTATTACCCGTTGTTTCAGGAAATAAAAAATGGCCAAATAATATCATTATGTCACACCGAGCTTTCATAATTCTTTCTTGTTCGGTGGAGTTTTCGGTTATTACGAGACTACTATGATATTCTCTAAGAAGACGGAGATTAATACCTTGGCCTATTTATCCTTGTTCAAATAAAGAGACTCTCAAAAGTTCCTCGTATATGACGTTGTCTTGGTTGTCTTGGTCGGCAAATAAATCTAAATTTAGTTGATTTTAAATTATAAAATAATGTCAAAATAATTGAAATTAATTAATTTAAAAAATTAAAATTAATTATAAAATCCTAAGTCTATTATTTTTAAGTTTTTATTTTATTTTATGATTATAAATAAAAATATTAAAACCAAATAGAACAAAAAAAGCTGGGCCTGATGTTATAAGCCAATGGGGTGCGCTTGGAATTTGCTAGGTCCATACTAAGCTGGCTCAAAGACTGTACGGATCCAGTGTGATTCACCCGTTTGAGGGTTCATCAAGTACAGCGTGCCTGAAACGTTAGATCTCCATCTCGTGGCCTTTGATGGTGGTGATTTGTGGACACATGGTATTTGGACTTTAAAGCATCGAATCAGCAAGGAAATAGTTAGGCAAGAAAATGAAATACAGGGTCTGCGTATCGAACCCAGCCCCCCCTACATAAACACCTGCAAATTTGATCAAAGGATGGATTGAAACAAATCTAAAGACCCTCCCACCCTACATATGATCATCTCCTAAACCCAAATCAGGGGTTAAAACTGGCACAAGATCTTTGTATCACCTAATTTGAAGCCTGGCTGCCTCGAAGCCTTAAAATGGCACATTGTACTTTCAACACTTATATTTGTATGAATGATCAATAATAACATAAACATGCATGTAAAAACAATTCAAATAGTAATCGAAAGGTTGTGATCCAGAATTTTACCAAAGACTGGTGGGCTTGGTGCGTGACTTTTGGGCGTGCTTCAGGTTTGGAAGAGAGCTGGTATTCGATTGGACTTGAAGGAGCCTGTAAAGAGTGTTTTTATTTTGATAACTTTGCTGGATTCTTGAGAATTTTTGTGGCTCTTTAAGGTAGCTTTCGATAGGCAATCTGTACGTGTCCCCAACTTGCATATATGCTGGGTATTTATAGGAGATGAGGAGGGAGTCTTAGCATGGAAAGAAACAACTTTAATCATGTCCTTAAAGGATTTCCATATAGCTTTGAAGACAAAATCATACCAATTTAAAGATTGCCATTTATAGAATATTCATGCCATTTTGAAATGTCGAGTGAACCTAGACATGTTTCACCTTCGAATGCCTTCAGTCCCTGCCATTCGATTGGCTATAAGTTGTTTCCTTTGAATGGCTCAAGTCTTGTCCTATGATTGACTCTGAGTTACTTCATTCGAATAGCTCAAATTCTCATCATTGGGGCCTCTTCGATTGAGCCCCTACTCGGCTAGCCCAAACGAAAACTCTTTCCTGGCCAATTGAAGCTTCCTTTGGCATGAATGTGCCTGTGCAAGAAGCTTGAGTATAGAAATATGTGGGATTTTGGGACAACCATCACCTTTGCATATTTCTCTTTTGTTTTGACCAACTAGATCTAATTTTTGACCAAACCCTTTTTTCAGACAACACTATGTGTCCTTCGAATATGCCTTTGAATGCTTCTTCGAATGGATCATTTACATGTCCTTCGAATGGCTCCTTCGAATCAATATTTTTATATAGGACTAATCTTAATATCAAAATAAAATATATCATAAATATTTAAATTTTGATATTAAAATTAATAGTAATAAATATTTATTATTAACATTGATTATTTTTACTCACAATATTGATATTAATAGTTTATTATTACTATTGTCACATTTTCAATAACTATATCAGTTAAAATTTGAATATAAATAATATATATATTTTTATAAAAAATAAACATCCAAATAAATAAGAAAAAAAGAAACTAAATGATGCTCTTATTGAAGAAGGTTTACAACTTTGTATTAGAAATTTAAATAATAATTATATTATATATAGAGAGAGAGATATGATGCTTGTGGAAAAAACGCAACGAGATTGGGAGATGAGGTTTTGTGGATGATAGATGAGACTTGAAGAGTTGTGTTGGTATGATATTTTTTTAAAAAGAAACATTGAAAATAAAAACATGTGATAGATAGTGGTTGATTGATTTAAAGAAATTGTATTTAACTTGAAAAAGTACAGTTGAATAGAAAAGTGGAGAAGACTAAAACTACCCATAAATTATAGTCGTGGCAGTTAGGCAGCAAGGGCAAATGAGACTTTTGCAGAATCATTTAATTTCTTATAATTTTTTTTGTTAAGAAATGGTCTTATTTCAGGGTGAAGTGACTTAAATGTGAGCAATTATTTGCCAGCACATCACGTAAAAGTATGTTCGGTCTCAGAATAGCGTTGTCGTCAGTGAGAGTGAATGAGAGACAGAGTTCACAACTTCACATTCACCACCATCTCCCAACAACAAACAAGTACCCATTTCATTCCCTTCACAACATTTCTCAAAACCCTAACCCTAAAAAAGCCTTCCCAATGGACTTCAATCACCACCTCTCTGACCTTTCCACTTCCACCCAATCCTTTCCCTCCGACGACGACTTCCGCTTCCACTACAACTTCCCCGAATTCCGACACCTCATTGAAGAAATCGCCAGAAAATCCCAATCAATGTTAAACCAAATCGGTTCCTCAGAGAATATCTGGGGTCTAGGTTCCTCTTTCCCCGCTGACATCGATGATGCTTACGAATGGATTGTTAATGCACACGACGACGCTTTGGAGCTTGTTGACGAGATTGTTGATGAATTTCATAGGGTTCTGAAGGAGCAGGATATGGAAGAAGGGGAAGACGGGTTTTTCAAGATGAAGGATGGTAAGAAATGTGTTGGTTTTTTCGGTGCTAATGGAAAGAAACCGAAAGTGTCGTTTCATGTGCACACTCTTAGGAAGCCTCAGTATCATTATAACCTTGCGGTTGATAACTCTAATCAACCGTTTCAACATGTTTGGTTGGAAAAGAGTGAAGATGGTCAGAGGTTTATACATCCGCTGGTTGGTTCACTCTATGAAATTTTTTTATGCTGGTTTGTTGATTAAACTGCCATTTGACAGCATTGTTTATATCTTGACCTGACATTGTTGTAATCATATCTTAGGATAGTTTCTTTTGGCGTCCTTTCATCATTGTAAATTGTAATGTTGAATATGTCTAGTGTTGTCCTTGTGGGGTGGAGTGGAGCATTAAAACTTGATACCAGAATGATGATTTGTTTGTGGTCAGAATTTGCTTTGTCATGCTCTTTTGCATGTTTTACGCCCTTTTGCGGCGCAAAACTTGCACTATGTGCAGAGTCATTGATGGATGTTAGAAACATTGTCCCGGATAGAACATATGTGGCAAAAGATAATCCATGTAGAAATGCTTGGTTGTTGTTGCTGGTTGGAATTTACTTTGAGTGCAATTCCACCTCTCTTATGAGTGTGCTGAGAAATGTTAACAATTTAGCTAATATAGTGGTTGTTTTGATGGTACTCATCTGGGTTGTTTTCAACTTTTCATTCTAGAGTACCATTCGTTAGGCATAAAGGGTTTTTATTGGACGGTTTTCTTCCATCCCCACCACTTTCACTTTTCAATCCAACTGTGTTTTATGTTTTTTTCTGTTGGTTTTGGTACAACTAAGTTCATACACAGTTCACGTGACAAAAAGAAAACTTTAAACTGTAAAACATGACGTTAATGCTGATTTATGATTTATAATTTATTATTATTAATTCCATTGTCTCTTATTTTATAGTGCAATGCAAAATTTGATTTATGTTTCAGGAAAAACTCTCTGTTTTTGATTTTGTCGATGAAGATAATATTGAGAGTCTTGTACCAGTAATGCCTCCCCCACTGGAATGCACACCTTTCAAGCTTATAGAGGATGTTAAAGGATTGAAGGAGTTGGCTGATAAGCTGAGCTCTGTTGATGAATTTGCGGTATAGCATAAATGCTATAATCTAATTTTTTACTAAATAGTTTCCTTCATTGCATGTTAGTTGCCATCTATGGTGCATATGTAAGGATAATTTTCAAAATGATTTTTATTCTTTATTAAGCTGTTAATGTCATTTGAAAGGTTTCCATATCTATATTCTGCAAATCTTAAGCTCTAGCCTTGCAAGCTTATTGGCATGCTCATAAATGAAATTGAAATGTCATTTTACCCTTCTTCTGATGTCTTTCTTGTAGTATATCATTTATTGAAGTTAATATGGTGATATGCGCATCTTGTATCTCATTTATCTTTGGTTCATTTTTATGTTTGAATATATTTTTCTCTTGCTGTGATCATAATCTAAGTTGATTAAGCTTTTTTCAGCTGATTCTGGGTTTGTTCTTTGTAAAAATTGTGATCTTGTTTTGCACTGTGGAAGTTTTTACTCTTTTATTCTCCCCTTGTGTACAGATTGCTTTTGATGTGTTTATTGAATATTGGATTTATATTCTATATTCTCCCATCCCTTTCATTAACATATTTTTTGACACTAGTATCTTGACTTTGAAAATTAGGTGGATTTGGAACATAATCAATATCGGTCTTTTCAAGGTTTGACTTGTTTGATGCAAATATCAACCCGGACTGAAGATTTTATTGTGGATACTTTGAAGCTCCGTGATCATGTTGGAACACATCTGAGGGAATTTTTTATGGACCCTACCAAGAAAAAGGTTAGATTCCCACGATTGACGTTTCTTTTATTCAATAGACTTGGTTATTTCTTTTAACTGATTCATGATTAGTTAGATATTGCATGGAGCAGATCGAGACATTGTGTGGCTGCAAAGGGATTTTGGCATTTATGTCTGTAATCTGTTTGACACTGGCCAGGTTTGTGTTTTGAAAACTCAGGATGTCAATTTTGAAATTATTTCCCTTGGACTGTTGCTTAAATTCCTAGAAATAAAAGGCTTCAGGAAATAATTCTTGAGCATTGCACTTTGATGTTAGATTGCTTGGATGATTTTGACTTCCTTAGAGCAATTAGATATGATTCTTTTGCCGCAGCTTGAAGAAAATGCTGGAAACTAGCTCCATCACAAGATTTATGTCAATTTTGCTTTCGAGCATTGCTTGTTTATCTGGTCTAATTGTTTTTATGAGTTTCTGTATGTGAATTCTACAAGTTACTTTCGAAATGGCCGTTTTATCTGTAAAATATTTTAAATATGTTTCCAGGATTTTGTTTTACATGGTGCGACCCAATTATATTGACAAGATTTAATAAGTAATTACTTTTAGTTTTGGAATAAAATGGAAAGTATTTCAGTTTTCATGCATTCATGTGTTGATCTCACCTGCAACATTAAGAAATGGTGAAACAAGCTCTAAAGTTTCAATGCTTTTGATTATCTTTGTCTTAATCGATGTTCCATGACTGTATATTAGGAATTCATGCTATAATCTTCTCTTCTTTTAATCACATAGGGCTAATATGTATTTTGATTGCTCAGGCTTCTAGAGTGTTAAAATTGGAGAGATATAGTTTGCAACATCTTTTGCAACTCTATTGTGGGGTTACTGCAAACAAAGAGTATGCAGTCTTTATTTTTTTATATATTTTATTTTATGTACCATTTTTGTCTTTCCTCTTTATTAATATAGAAGATTTTTCATTTCATATGGCATGACTATTGCTTTTATTCTTACTTACATTCTTGAAAGTTTACAAAGTCATTTCCTTGCAGGTACCAGAATGCAGACTGGAGAGCACGCCCTCTTCCTGATGTGATGATAAAGTGCGTATGTGTTTTGAGCTTGCCCGGTTACAATTGATCTGTTCTTGATTCTTCTTTTATGCTCGTCTTCTATTCTTTCCACATTGCTGAGTTTATGTTAATAATTCTCAAAAGAGATGAAAAACCACATAGAAAGAACCCAAAATTTTAAAGTTGTGTCATACTGTCATTGAAATCGGAACAGAGGATGCGGATGAATATACTCCAAATGTCCTTCGCAAAGGGTCTTTCCTGTCACTTTGCAGACAATCAAATGTACTGAATGGGTCTCCCTAATCTGATTTCTCTTATTTATATCTAACCGATCACCCTCCTTTTCCCTTCCAACTAACTAATCTACTAATAGACTAACTATAACTGCTGTCATTATTCTATCTAATGATATATCCTAATACTTTGGAAGCACATTTTAGTATCCAAGATGCAGTTTGTGATTTTGGGGACCGGTTTATCTGTTAAGTTGTTCCTTTTACTCAGGTGGGACTTCAGCTGACTTAAGACTAAGAATTCAGCACACATGTTAAGTAGAATTAGCCTTGAGCTAACTATATGTGTCATTCATTCCGGGGTTCTTTTTGTAAAATATTATGATTCTAGGTAAGGAGAGTAGATCAGACGGAGAGAAGTCAAATAACTAGAATAAAGGAAGACCTAGAAAAACTATAAGGGAAGTTATTAAGAAAGATCTCGAGATTAACGATTTGGATAGAAGCATAGTTTTGGATAGAACATTACGGCAAAATTTGATCCATGTAGCCGACCTCAATTAGTGGGATAAGACTTGGTGGTTGTTGTTGTTGATGTTGTTGTTGTTGTTGTTGTAGTATTATGATTCTAGGTGTCATAATATGGAATCATTTTCTACAAGGTTCCTCTATATTTTTCTAGTATTGTTTCACTGTTATAATTTGCTATCTACATAGATTCTTTGCCCATTTTTGAAAGTGAGATTAATAATTAGTGGTCTCTGACTGTTCTCATTTATTTGTAGTGCCTCCCTCTTAATCTTTCTCCCTATTTGTTTTATGTCCCCTTCTTGTCAGCATATCTTCGACGTGTTACTTGCAGAGTTGTACTTACAGCATGAACAAATCTAATGTGTCGCAAGCATTTCTGAATTCTACTTTTATGAAAAATCTAATTGTGTATCTCCTCCTTCTCAGAAAGTGACAGATAGATATGATATAATATATAAACAGCAGTTGAGCATGATAAGTTTAAGACCTTATGTAACATTGACTTGTATATTTTCCCGGTGGTTTTAAGTACTACAATTTAATAAACTGTTGTTATGATGATAGATATGGAAGAGAAGATACACACTACCTGCTTTATATATATGATGTAATGAGGATCAAGCTATTTGAACTCTCTAAGGAGTCGGAAAGTTCCGATGATCCTCTGTTGGAGGTAAGTTGAGATTGAACTAGCTAAATGAACAAGTAATGTATCAATTATTTCCTCAGGCCACTGGATCCTCCTTTGTTCCCTTGGGCAGTCTACAACTGTTTTAATGATTAGGTTTTCTGCAAAGATGCCATGATTGATCAAAGTTTGTTTGACATTTCCTTGTCCACCATTTTTTCAATTATATTGAATCAAATAGCACGACATAAATGAATGGTGGCTTGGCTAATCTTTTTATTTACACCGTTCTTATTTGAATTTCCTGTCACTGATAGGTTTACGAGCGGAGCTATAATGTCTGCATGAAGCTGTACGAGAAAGAGCTTTTAACAGAAGACTCCTACCTTAATCTAAAAGGGTTGGTTGCCTTTTTTCAATTGTCAAACTTACTTTACTTTATTATTTAGCATTCTATTTAATTAGCAACTCTTTCCATAGGTTTATATTTCCTTATTAGTTTGCTATCTCTTCTTCGTAGAGGTGTTTGCATGTGTTTTGATTTTTGAAGTTTATGCTTTGCTTTGCTTTTAATACCTGCCAAGAGATGTGCACATAAACCAATTACCACTTTGTATACAGGTTGCGAGGGGCTGGTTTTAATGGTCAGCAGCTTGCTGTTGTTTCAGTAAGTTGATAATTCATATCTTATTTGTAGCACCCATTTTTTATTACTTACACGAGGAATGGAATTGTTTATGATTTTTCTGCACCATTTTTTATGTGCACAAGTAGCCCTTGGATTTATAGTTTAGTACAAGATTTTGAATTTTGCTAATGCTGACATCTTAATATAGAACACCATACAATAGTGATACGGAGACACAGAATAATATATAACTATTTCCTCCATTTTGGTGTATTGGTATTGATTTGATACCGGTACGTCTGACATTTTGAGTTTTGCTGGTTCATCTCTATTTTACTTCAACCATATACTATTCCTCTGCCAAAATTTACACCGTTGCTACAATTTTGCTAGTGCTCATCATGTTGCTACTGTCTTTTTTACATTTGCAGTAGTATTTTCATTAATACTACATCATATTTTCTCTACTATGCTATTATATTGAGGACTTAATATTACTAGAATTTGAATATTATATTTCCTAAATATGTCGGTTTCTATCATGATTACTAGTCTTGGGTGGACATCCAGAAACTATTGGCATTCCAAGCACACGACATAAATCAAGTTATCTCAAACACGAGTATAACATTCAACACTGTACGGTCGTAGGTCAGGACTCAGGAAGTTACTAGTAAAAATACTCCATCTTAAAACTGATAAGATAATCTCATGCATTACCCGATAGGTGTGGTGTAGTTGGTTAAGCGGTTCATGTGGGGAAGGACTATGGTTGGACCCCTGCAAAACACACGCTAAAGATGTAAAGAGACTTAAGCTGAACCAATGCACCTGAGCAAAGATTTGTTTCATAGCGGATCCAAGTATCCATATATGTGAGGATACTCCATGGAACTGGAGTGCCAAAGGTTCTAATTATAGTGGTTTACTACCAAAAAAAATTAATTGCATGCATCGGTTCTACTTTGGGTTTCTGTACGGTCCATACCATATGTTATTCCATTTACTCTACTATGTATGCAACTGGCAGGGGCTTTTTGAATGGCGTGATGTTCTTGCTCGGTCAGAAGATGAAAGTACTGGGTTTATATTGCCAAATAAAGTTATTCTTGAAATTGGTAAATGAAATGCAGACTTCTGTTTCATGTTTTATCTAGAAGGTAGCCCATTTGTATGGCACACGGCAATGTCATTTAATCATGTGTTTACCTGTTTGAAAAGCTAAGCAGATGCCTGTCACTACAAGTAATCTACGGCGATTGGTAGCGGAGAGGTCAAGGCTCCCATATGTTGAGCGCAATCATGATATTATTATTAACATTGTCAGACATTCTATGCAAAAGGCTGCTGCCTTTGAAGAAGCTGCACTTCGTTTAAAAGAAGAACATGCTGCCTTTGAAGAAGCTGCTGCGCTTCGTTTAAAAGAACAAAATGCTGCTAGTGTAAGTAATATATTTAACAGTTGTCAGTTTCTAGAATTATTATGGGGCAGGAGACTTTAGTGCCGAGTCTGATTGATACTCTCCGTTTCAAAATGACTGTCGTTTTAGCAAATAAAATTTGTTTCAAAATGAATGTAATTCTCACTTTTCACGGCAGAAATGATTGTTATTTTTTCAATTGTGTCCTTTAATTATTACTCTGTACACTACTTCTAACACATTTATAAGGTTAATTTAGTAAAAGTGCAATGTCATTTTGTATCATTTTGAATCGCTGTAAACTATTATATGTTATTATATCCTGGGTGCTTATTGTATAATTAAAATTCCACTGTTTCAATATTATTTCTACAAAGCCTCAACAAAATGAAAAAAAAAAAAGCTTTTTCAAAGCATCAGTCTAATTATAGTTAATTGGTTGATAGGAAAATGGAGCAATTGTTCAGGTGCTAAAAATGCCAACGGGTGCTTGTGATGCAACACCGCAGGGCCATTCAGCTTCAGAAGGGAATGGTTTTCCTGACAAAAAGGTGAGCTTTTATTAAATATTTTTAATGATGCCTGTTTATTGAGTTAAGGATGTAAACAATTGATTTCTTTTTTGCTGTCATTTTTATTCTAGCTTGTTCGGTTCTTTTGGAGATATAGTTAGTTTTTCTTCAAAATCTCTTTCGTAGAGCTAATAAAAAGTCCATTTTTCTTAAAATAGAACTATTTGAAATTACAGTCTTTGTGCGAGACCTCAATACATGTAAGTTTGCTGGTTGTGTAATCTGAGTTTGTATATCTTTATATTCCAACTACTGTATGTCCACTATATTTTAAAACTACTTTGCGGGGTTGGTTCTTAGGGCAAGAAAAAGATCAAGGTAGAACAGATTGTAGCATCAGAGACATCAGATCTGAAGAAACCTCTTTCAGCTAAAGTTTCCACATCTACCCTGGATGCAAACATACTATTAGACTTGGATTCAGACTCGGATGATATGGTGTAAGAATGACCTATAAATCTGCAACATTCAGCTTAGGAAAATATTTTTTGTCCACTCTGGTTAAAGGAAAATGAAGTTGACCACATGCCTGTCATAAGATGCATTCAGCCAAATTTAGAATAGCAAAACCAGACAAACATGTAATTTGTCCTAGTTTGATTTTGAAGTAACAAAGAAACAAGTTAGCGTTGGAGAAGATAAAGAAAATGCTTGGTCTCGGAGCTGTCTTCTGCAGCTACATGACTCAGTAGTAAGAAGAGAAGTTCAACCATAAACATGGGGGACAAGTGATTTTACTACATAATTGCAGCAAGTTAGATGATGGGAGGTGTTTGCAGCTTTTGGAAATCGAAGTGGAACCTTATATTAGTAAAAGGAAAGTATGTTAGAATATATGCTTTGTAGTATGTACAGATGGATACAGAATTCTAGAAGTTACCTTCATTACTGTGCTTGAATGGAAATTGAGCAGAGCGAAGATCTTTGCTCAAAATTTTGCTAAACTAGTGACATTTTAACTATAACAGCAAATTTTAACATGGAAAAGAATTGGGTTACTACATTGTTAAGTATGCCATAAAATAACTTTGAAATCTTGAAGTGCAGAGTAGAGGCTTATTGGTAGATCTATCTGACAACATTGTTGTTGCTAAAATGTCAAATTAGTACTCTTCCTTTACTTTTTAAGTGTCCTTTTTTTTTTATACTTTTTATAGGTACTTTTTAAACAATGTTTACCTTTTTTTTTTATCTATAACTCTTAACTTTTTAATATTAATTTATTTAACTTTTTTTTCTTCTGTGTAATAAATTATTAGAGGTAATTTTGGTAAAATTACAATCAATACTATTTTGAAATGACACTTAAAAAGGAACAAATTGTTTTCAAATACTTTCTCTGTCTTAAAATAAGTGTATTTCTAAAAAGAAAGAAAAAAACTGTTTCAAACTAATAATCTCCTTACTTTTTCAATTTATTTTTTTGATACAACATTCTTTCATTTTTATCAACTTTGTTCCTAATCAATAGTATTGTCTATATTTAATATTATGACAATAACCAATAATTTTATATTAATTCAATTATTACATTTTTAAAAAAATTTTAATATGTGTAACAATCTTAATTGATTTTTATTTTGAGTCGGAGAGTACTTTGAATTTTGAAATAACATTTGAAAGGAACAAATTAGATAATTTTAAAAGTTCAGATAATTCTCTTTTTTTAGAATTTAATTAATGTTATAGAAATAATTTTAAGACTAAAAACATTAAAAGAAACAAATTAGATAATTTTAAAAGTCTAGATAATTCTTTTTAGAATTTAATTTATGTTATAGAAATATTTTTAAGACTAAAAACGTTAAAATAAATATTTACTTATCATAACTCTTAAAAAAGTATTTTTCTTCAATTGATCTCTTTCCAAAACTTTCATTTTTCTCTTCCAAACTCACAAATAAGACTCTAGATATGTATCTGCCAATTAGAAAGTTTGATTCATAATTCAACAAATAATACTATAAAAATAAAATTTTGACAATATTTTGACAGGATATTTTTAAATTAATTACTTTATTTTAAATAAAAAATAGCCTCATCATATAAATTTTGGTTTAACCTAATTTCTAATCTAAAATAGTTTTGAAATTCTTTTTTATTTTAATTTATTAATTAGTTTATTAAATTTATTAATACGTTAGTTGTTAATTTGTTATATAAAGCTTACCACGTTAATAATATATGAACTCAAATAAAAATCTAATCTGAAAAAAAGCTGTTGAACTAATATGTATGACAAATTGACAATCCATGCAATGAAGCAAAAGATTGAAATGTAAATAAATGGTTGAAAATAACTGGTCAGCAATGAATTTAAGGTAACATCAAATTGGTGACAACCTAATTGAAATGAAAGGATCTCGTTTAATGATTTGCAAATCAATTTTAATTTTAAAAAATTACATCAAGTTTACTTGCGAAATCCTCATTCTCATGAAAATGATTTTGAGATAAGATTATGCGTTGGTGTTTTCCTCTGTCTGACTCAATGTGTTTTTTTGTCTCTTCAAGCTTCTCTATTTTACAAATTCACAAATATTACAAATCACAAATAAATCATGTGAACGAAAGCGAGAAAGCATCTACAAGTCCCACAATATTCGTAACAAAGGGTAATGTGAAAATAAAATCAACCTAGCTAGTGTGACATTTGTGGTTTTTTTTGGGTCATGCTGCACATTAGACACACCCTTTTCAATTCTTCTATATCGCAATGTGCCATATAGTCAATTGGCCAAGCCAAGTACATCAAATTGATTGATTAATTCACGTAAGAAATGTAGATACACACATTTATGATTTTAGACTACGTTAAAACAACTTCATTAAGAAAAAAGTATAATATAAGTAAGATTACGTGTTCTAAGGACACATGTTAAGAATTAAATAAAGAAAGTTTATTTTAAAAAGTGTATTAAAATTATTATATATATATAATTAATTTTATTTTTCATTTTATTCAAGACAAACTTTTTAAATATAGGTTTCTTAACATGTGCCTTTAGGGTCATGTTGAGTTTTTTGGATTACTTGAGGATCTGAGTTGTTGTTTGTTCATGGCCAGATACGCCCCTTTCCTCTTTGACAGTCAAACTTCAGTTTACTTTTCCATCGTCGTCATCACCTACAAGGTTGTTGGTATTCTTCAAGGTCCAATAAGGGCTGGGTTGTTGCGTTGCTCTAGATCTTTCTGAATGGTGGTGGTGATTCAAAGTATTGATTAATAGATTAAGTCCTTATTGAGAAGGTGGAAATCACCTTAATCTAGTTAAAGGGGATCAAATATAAAAATACTTGTGTTCTTTTATCTTTGTGGTTTTTGTGTTGTTTATGTTTGGGTGAAAGAAAAAGTTTTAATCTTGAAACCCAATTCAAACTCTCCCTTTCTTGTGTTTCATTGTACCTTCAATTGACATCAGAGCTCCGATTCTGATATTGATTGTTATATAAAAAACTTAAGTGTGTCAGATAAAGGTCTAATTATTGGAACACAATGACATGATTTCCTCCACCTGCTGCAAACAATGATAACGATCACTACACTGCTAAACCTCCAATTTTTGATGGTAAAAAGTTTGATTATTGGAAGGATAGAATTGAAAGTTTCTTCTTTGGTTTTGATGCTGATTTGTGGGATATGGTAACAGATGGTTACACACATCCCTTGAATGTAAATGGCGTTAAAATAGAAAGAAGTTCTATGAATGATCAATAGAAAAAGGACAAAAAAATCACCATAGATCAAAGACCATTATTTTAAATGTCATTTCATACACTAAATATGAAAAGATAACAAATAGAGACTATCCAAAGTCTATATTTGATTATCTTAGAATGACTCATGAAGGAAACAAACAAGTAAAAGAAACCAAGACTTTAGCCTTGATTTAAAAATATGAATCCTTTATAATGGAAGATGAAGAAACCATTGAGGATATGTTCTCAAGGTTTCAAATTCTTGTTGCTGGTTTGAAAGTTTTGATCAAAGGCTACACTATTGTAGATCACGTAAAGAAGATCATCAGAAGTCTTTCAAAGAAATGGAGACCAGTGATGATTGCACTTAAAGTGTCAAAAAATTTGAGAAGTACAACTCTGGAAGAGCTTGCTAACTCTCTAAGGAGTCATGAGATTTATCTAGAAGAGGATGAGCGTCCTAAGAAAGGAAAGTATGTGGATTTGAAGTATAAAAGCAATTCTAAAAAGACTAGAGCTTTTCAAGCTGAAGAAGAAGAATTTGAAGAAGATTTTGATGAAGAAGATGAATTGTCTCTGTTGTCCAGAAGATGAAGTATATGCAGAAGAAGTCTGGAGTTGACAAAGAAGTTATCTGTTATGAATGCAAAGAGCCCGACCATTACAAGATTGAGTGTCCCAAACTCACCAAAGAAAATCCAAAGAAGAAGTTATTCAAAGATAAGAAGAAAGTTCTAATGGAAACATGAGACAACTCTGACTCTTCAAAAGAGCAAACAAATATGGCGCTGATGGTAAGTGCAAAAGCATACAACTCTGAATCAGAATCAGACAATGAAGAGGTGTTTTCTCACCTCTCTTGTTCTGAACTTGAAACATCTTTAGATGAGATTCTTGAAAAGAATTAGGAACTTTAGAGAAGATGCAAGACTGTGAAAAATATTCTTGTAACTCATTCTAAAGCCCATAGTGAGCTGATGAAAGAAAACATTATTTTAAAAGAAAAAATAATAATTTTGAAAATGAAAACTATGTCCTCAAAAGTAAAATGGACATTTTAGAAAAGTATATTCTCATCAATGCTCATATAAACTGTGAATGTGCTTCAAAGAAGTGTGAAACTTCTTTTAAATTTTTTTAAGCTAAAAACATAGATAGAAATAAGGTGGCTTCTATGATCTATGGATTAAGCAGAAACACACTAAGAAATAAATTGCTTGATCCTAAACCTAAAGGAGAAATAATGATTAAATCAAAAGCCTTATACTCTCACTTCACTTATGGACACTGTGATACGGTGGCAGAATCGACTGTTATACTGGTTTTGCATTTTGTATTCGCAAATGTTGCGGTAAGCAAGAGTCGCCACCGACTTTTCTTTTATCCAAATTAAGGAAAGGGTGAAAAGAACAGAAAAAGACCTTTTCGAGAGTTTTCCGAGTAAGGGGGGTAGATTATGGAAAGGGAAGGTGTTAACACCCTTTCCATCCGTAGCTTTCTACGGGCTCTTAGATGCTTAGCTCATTTTTTAAATACCCCGTGCTTTGTGTTTTGAAAAAGTATTTGAAAATGCCTTAGTGTGGCGATTCGCTTTATGATAACTCTTGTATCAATCCTCAAGAGTGTTGACAAAGCGAATGTTTTTTGAATGTGTTTTTGAAAAGTTTTTATGTAGGTGTAAAAAAAGTTTGTTTTGAGTACAACATCTAAAAACTATCTACTTATACTCGAAAAGGTTCGTTCTT